CCAAGGGCCATTTGGATATGTATCACATCATTCAAGGGCCATACACAATTATCAACTTAAAAATTAGCCTGCTATATTTAGTCAAACATTTAATAATTCACCCTAATGCCTTGGCCAGGCCAGAACAAATGATTTCAGGCCATGTGATAGGGACAGAAATAGAATACTGGGGACCAGCTATAATTGTAAGAAACATTAATCACGCTCTGTTACCCGTGATTGTTTTGTTCTGATTAAAGAAGGCACATTCAACCTGGCTGGGAGTTGCATGTGGGACCTGGGAGCTCACCAGGAAATGTAGCCCATCCTCCCCATCAGGAAAGATTAACAACCTTGTTGCAGAAATCAGAGCTGCCAGACCTTTGAAGACCCCCAGCCCTTTGCTTACCTGCAGGCCTTTGCAAATCTCCAGCTCCCATTGCCTGTAAACTGCCCATTTGGCATACCCTTTTGATATTTTCAGATCATTCCCTTTGAACTGGATAAAAATTATTAGAACTCTATAGACTATCTGGACTTACTAGTATAGAAGTACTGACAGAAAAAATTAGGGAAAACAAACAAAAAATTGATTATGGGACTGAATGAATTGAAAATAATTATATAGTTTTTTATAACTTTTAAAAGTATCACTGAGTATTAACTTTTTGTTTTTTATATATAAGAAAGCATTTTTAAAGCAATTTGGTAAATTATGTATTTTTTCTCTCTACCTTATCCCTCCAGAATTTGGCAGTTTTTAATGAGTGAGTCATGGCAATATGTTTCTTTGCATGAATTCAATAAGATCAGTTCCCAATTGTGGTTTTATTAACAAAGACTTTGGAATGCCAGGTCTAACATGCCTGGGCTCTGGTTGTCACCAGAAAGCTTTAAGGATGAAGCCAATAGGAGACCCGTGGAGAAAGCCTGGTACCTTGCTTGGTCACGTGGTTCATGGCCATCTTTCCAGGTAAGGGACGAAGGTTGCTTTCCTGGGAGATGCCAAGGAAGGAACCTGAAGACATCATTGGGGACCTCACCTTGAGGAATTCGCCCAAGTCCTAAGGTATTGCAGGAAAACCTCATGGTAGCTGGGTGGCTCAGCTTCTTTGCTCTGTGGGGCTAATTAAAGCTCAATCATGAGATTTCAGCAAAGCATATCTTTTTTTTAAAAAAAGCCTATGTGATTAATTGTTATTCTTATTGTCTTCATGCAAAAAGTCAGGCCAAATTATAACTAGACTTAATACAGGCCAAGCTGAGCTGTAATGGTTTTAACCTGCTCTTTGCAATGGGCCTTTTCTTTCTTTACCCTGAATCTGTTTTTTAAACAAGTCATTCTCACTCCTCCACTGCCTACTAAATCAGGGAGCTTTCATGCCTTCTCTTTATTCTTTCCTCAGAATTTTTGTTTGCTAGGGCTGCCATAACAAAGTACTACAAGCAGCTCTAGATGGATTGGCTCAGTGAATAGAGTGTCGGCCTGTGGACTGAAGGCTCCTGGGTTTGATTCTGGTCAATGGCACATGCCTGGGCTGTGGGCTTGATCCCCAGTGGGGGCCATGCAGGAGGCAGCTGATGAATGATTCTCTCTTATCATTGATGTTTCTATCTCTCGCTCTCCCTTCCTCTCAGAAATCAATTTAAAACTACATATTTATAAAGTACTGCAAATGGAATGGCTTCAACACCAAATGTATTGTCTCCCAGGCTGACAGCCAGGGATGAGGTCAGGGTGCCGTCAGGTCACGCTCCCTCTGCAGGGGGTCGCCTCCTGGCCTCTCTCTGAGCTTCTGCAGTTCCTTGGCTTGAGGCAGCATACCTCCAATCTGTGTGTGATGTTCTCTTTATGTCTCTTGTCCAAAATTTCCCCTTTTAGGAGGACCCTGGTCATATTGGAGTAGGGGTTCACTCATCTTAACAAATTATATCTGCAATGACCCTATTTTTGAACGACCCAAATGTTGAAGTATTAAGGTGTTAGGACTTCAACATATAAATTTTGGGGAACACAATTCGACCCATAACAAATCTATATATAGATTTTTTTTTTTTTGAGAAAGTAGAAGGGAGAGGGAAGGGGAGTGAGAGAGAGAAAAAAACATTGATGGGAGAGAGACACATCCATTGGTTGCATCCGTGGGATGGAACCTGCAACCCAGGTATGTGCACTTGACAGGGAATTGAACCTGAGATCCTTTGGTGGCACGGACCAAGGCTCTAACCATTGAACTATGCTGTCCATAGCTAAAGCATCTGTTTGTCAAATAAGTCCTTCTACTCCTCCTCTGAGCAGGCTGCTTCCTTCTAGGAGGCACCATCTGTAGGAGCACCGTTGAGCCCAAGCTCACACTGATCCAGCGCTGTCCCTAGGACTGTCCTTTGTGGGCGTGCTTCAGTGACAGGGCTGAGACCCTAATGACCAAGTCTGAGTGTGCACAGGCCAGATCTGTCCCCTGGAAATGCTCCTATAGCACTTGAGGTTTTCCACACTACCAGTGTGTATTAGGTTCTTACTGCTGCTGTAACAAATGACTACCAACTTGATGGCTTAAAACAACAGACATTTATTCTCTTACAGTTCTGCAGTTCAGAATTCCAAAATCAGTTTTACTAAAGTCAAGGTATCAGCAGGGCTGGTTCTTGCTGTACGCCCCAGGGGAAAATCCGTTTCCTTGCTTTTTCTAGCTTCTGGAGGCTGCCTTGACACTTCTTGGCTCACAGTCAACCCCTTCCTCACATCATTCTCATCTCTTGTTTCTGGCGTGACAACTCCGACAACATCAAGGCTCCCGGGGCCTCCCTCTTGTATGGACACTTGTGGTTATCTCTGGGGCCCACCAGATAGTGCAGGATATTCTCCCACCTCAAGATCCTTAACTTAATTACATTTGCAAATTCCCTTTTTTCCTATAAGGTGGTAGTCACAGATGCTGGGGCTTTGGATGTGGACGTCTTTGGGGCCATTATTCAGCCCACCACACTATGCTTAAAGGCAGGGACAGCAACACCTCTCTTGAGTTTGCCCAATCTGGTTTCTAAGAGCCTCATTTTCTTCTTAAGGAAATTCCTTTCTTCCTTCAGCTTTATTTCCATGTCTTCTGTAATTTGCTTTGGCTCTCCTGCTGCTCTCTTCTGACAATAGCATCCCAGTTCCTCAAGTCTAGGCAAATCTGTCCTCCTAGAGATGAGTTAGATTGAGCAGAGACCATTTTCATTGTTCTGTAACACAGCTGTTACTACAATGTGAAATCAAGCAGAAGCAAACACAAATCCCAAACCGTTCGTTTCTTGACTAGTGTGCAGTTCTCCAATAATTTCTCATTAGAGATTTGCCAGTGCTTCCCCTGGTCTTCATAGCCTTCAGGGGAAAAGCCTGTTGGGAGTGGGGAATGGCAGAGAGAACTGACGGACGGCGAATGAACTGCTCACGCAGGAATGCTGACGCGAGACCTAGCACTTATGTTCACACCAGTTCGCTGAGCTCTGTCAGATTTCTCGAGTAGGTCTTAGTTGCCTGGGTATAGATCAGCAATTTTCCAACCTTTTCATCTCATGGGACACAAACTAATTACTAAAATTCTGAGGCACACCAAAAAACAGATTTTTTGCTGATCTGACAAAAAAGGATATACTTTTGATTCATTCACACTGGATACCTATTGTTGTTGGCTGTTGTCATATTTTTATTTTCTCTTGACAATCTAAGGGAAAAGAGGTCAGGGCCCCTGACTTAATAGTCAGGTATCGCATGTTTTAAAAACTCTCGTGGCACACCAGTTGAAAATGCTGGTATAGATAATAAGAAGGCAGACAGCAGTCTTGATCTGGGTATGGCTTTGCCTGCTGGGTGGGGCAGAAGGACAAAGGAACAAGAGAGTAGAGTGTGCTGGGGAGAGTATTGTTTTACCTTGGCTGGTAGAAAAGCTTATTTCACAAATTTATATAATGACTACACGGTACGAAGTGCTTTATTTTTGATTCTCACAGAGCCTACTCAACAGGGTTTTTAGCCTTATTTTAGATAGGGGGAAAGAGAGGCCCAAGGCCTCATGGCTGGTAAGTGCAGTGGTTAGGTGCAGCCTGAGACTCTACTCCTCATCCTCTCATTGTGCCATGAGCACAGGAGTCTGGAGGTGGACTGGAGGACAGGGAGGTCTCCAGGGTCTGAGTATTTCTATATGGTCAGAGGAATGAAAGGACCAGGAAGCTAGGGGAGCATGGATGTGGAATGGAGTGAGCATTTGATTTGAGACGTGGAGTAGTTTAGGGTTATGACAAAATCTAGAAGATAGCTGTGGATGTGGGTCGCTGGAAAGGAAAGGAATTGAAGGTCACTGACCTTCAGGGGTCAGCAAACTCTGAGGCTGGTGTTGGTTGGGACATCACACAGCACTGAGATTATCCAGAGACTGGAATGATGAGGAGGAGAGGGACCAGATGCCAGGGGCTGACAGATGTAGGGGAATGACTAGGAGGTCAGGAGGCGATGATGAAGGGGAGAAGATGCTATGAGTTTCAGTGAACAGGGCATTTGGTAAGTACATTGGAGTATCATTCATGAACAAGAGAAAGGCAACACCACCTTTGATTCTGAAATTATAGGGAGTAGAAGGAGGACAGCCTCTTATGAGGATGGATACAGGTAGAACTGGTTTTTAAATTTTAATTTAAAAAATGATTTATTGGAAAACATTTAAGTCCGTTTGGAACAGCTTGGGTATGTGAATCTACTTTTCTGTTGTAAATTTGATGAAACCTAGATATAGACCAAGTACTTCCAATGAAAATATAAGCATCTAAATTGAGATGTACTGTAAACATAAAATATGTAGTGGATTCTGAAAAGTTAATGGAAAAAAATGTAAAGTAGCTCATTAATAATTTTTTTTCTTGATTACATGTTGGTGTTTGGATATATTGGGTTAAATAACATATATTATTAAAGTTAACCTCATCCATTTCTTTTTATCTTTTTAATGTGACTATTAGAAAATTTATTTATTTATTATTATTTTAAAAATATGGGCAGCTTCACGAATTTGCATGTCATCCTTGCCCAGGGGCCATGCTAATCTTCTCTGTATCGTTCCAATTTGAGTATTTGTGCTGCCGAAGGGAGCACACTGTTAGAAAATTTAAACTTAGATGTGGCTCACATTGTCTTTCTACTGGGCAGTGTTTTGAAATCAAGGAGGACAGGGATGGGGAATGCCTGCCCTGAGGTCTGAAATGGAGCGCTCACGGCATCAAGAGGAAGTGAGAGCAGACACAGGGTTGTGGGAGTGTCTGTGATGTCGGTGCTTCAGGCTTCATGGAGTCCAGATGTGGTGGCAGATGTGTGGCTGGAATCAGGAAAGATTATGAGCATTTTGTTTATAGGAGACATTCACATGTCCTAATTACCCATCTTCTAACTAGAGAAGTATTTTAGAAAACTCTTAGAAAGAAAAATAAAGAAAAGACTTAGGGAATTGGGAAGAAGGAGGATCAAACTCATGAAGAAATAAGAAGCAGAGAGTAGTAGTGTGAGGGCTTCAAGTGCTTCCAGTGTGTCAAAGTGCCTTGTACCATTCTTGGAAGATGCCAGACTTTGAGAGATGGAAAATGCCACCCCAGTTTAGAGAGAGTCGTTAGTGGGCCAGATAATGACACAAATTGTGAGAACCTAGTCTGTTCGCGATGAGAGCTAGGAGTATCTTTTTGGCTCTAGAAAATGTCTTACTCAAGAATGGGAACAGAATTCCTTGGTTTCTCCTAAGTGAAGTGGTTCTTACCATGGAGAGCCTTTAGAGATAGCACAGATTTCAACTTTTGTAAACAATGCTTCCCTCTGAATGTGGAAAAGAACTTGCCATAATGAACATAATTAACACAATGAAGATTTGTCAGTTTCCTTTTCTCCCTATGCAGTCAAATGCCCGGGGGGGGGGGGGGGGGGGGTGGGGAGGTTGTCAGAGGCAGTGGTAAACTCAGAGCTGGCTTAATTCTGGATTGTCATTCCCAACAGAGGAATGCAGGTAGGCTCTGAGGTGAGCTCTGTTTGCTTGAGGATTTTATGGGTAGGAATTCCTTGTTCTCCTACCCAAGTCAACCTTTATCCTTCTCTTAACAAATGCTCATAGGTAGAGAGACTAGATAATCTGATTGATATATGTGGCCATACTGATTGTCAATATCCGCAAATAGCATGTAACACAAACCACTGTCTGCCTTCAAAAAGAGGTCTTCTAGGACTTGTCTCAATTAGGGGCTCCAATAGGGGGTTTCCATCTGGTAGTCAGAGTCAAGGGAAGGTGTTTCTGGTTGGGCCATCTGTTAGCTGTGCCCCTCAAGTCAGAACATGGGGAACCCCTATTCCAAGATGCGTCTTCATCTCCAAATGCCGCCCCCCCCCCCACTCCTCCTCGGGATAGCCCAGAATAGGAATAAGATAGATGGCGGGGACAAGAGCCAGGAGAGCTGAGTTCCAGATGTCTTCCAGCCATGAGCATCCTCCTGGGCTGGGCCAGCTGTCTGGCTGCCCCTTCTCTGGCACTTTTCAAGATGGAATCAAAGACACAGAATTACCCCGAGATACTTGGTTTCCTCTGCTTTGAGATAAGACCAGTCGGCAATGACTTTGATTCCATCAGAGCTTAGCATCTCCATTATTAGTTTTTCTATTTAGTACATTTTTGGACCACAAGTGAATTTCCCTTTGTAGTCAAACAAAGCTGAGCAACGGGAATTCTTTCTAAAGCTCTATTGACTGGCATACATTGATTTTTATTTTTCAACCCTTTTGTATATGAAAGTGATTCGTCACACCAAATCTAGGTGCAAGTTGAGGAGGGCAAGAGGAACCTTAAGCTTCTGTGTCTTGGAAACCTGCATGTGATAAATCTATACAGTGAAAAGGAGCAGGAACCAAACACAGAATGGGCCGATAGGAGGGGCTTGAGATGCAGCCTTTAAAAAAAAAAAAAATCTATCTCTATTGTTGAAAATGTTACAGATGTCCTCTCCTCCCCCCCGCCCCCCCCCCCCCCATTGATCCCCTCCACCCCTTTCTCAACCCTCCATCAATCAACAAACAAATAATGCTGGAGAGGATGTGGGAAGAGATGCAGCTTTTACTTAAGGTGGATGTGACCACATAAAGGCTCAATCCTGCATTTCTAGCCCAGTGCCAGTGCAATGGGAGAGGCCTGAGAAAGCTTTGTTGTTCTTTGGTTATCCCTTGATTTCTAGGGAGATTTGCTGGGTGGGTTCAGAGGAGTTTATCATGTTCTAAAATTTTTCCTAAAAAAGAACCCTCCTGACTCCCTGATTAGCCCATATTCAGCTGTGAGGGAGCCACTTGGAACATTTGCCTGCATTCTGTAGGTACTGTTTTCTCCTGCTTTGGCTTCAGTGGTTCATATTTTTTGGGTTTAATTCTTGATTAAGGGAAGGGAGTTTTAAATGACTTCAGTTTTTTAAAAAAGCTGAGTGTGAGATTTTTCTGTCATGTGGGATGAAACTTCATTTCCCCTAATCTTCTATGTATTGTGTATCCTTTATACATATCGACGCAAAGCCCATTTTAAGTCTTAAACTCAGGATTATTGCTCTGATACATACATACAACCGGTTAGGGCTTAAACTCCCTTCTTTGACAGAAAAGATGACTTGTTTATTCTCACACAACTGTGGACGAAAGAGGCCACATGCTAACCCGACAAGCTCAGGGAAGGCCAGCATGGCGGCCTTGCAAACTGAAAGGCCTAAAGCGACCGCAAGGATGGTCTGAAGGGAGACTGTTACTAAGAGCAGTTGTGGTGGGTAGTCGTGTCCTAGGCCGGAGTCTTCCCTGACAAGGTCAGTGTTTACCTTAACTGAACCTATGGTCCTTTTGCATCTAAGACAACATACCTCTGAAATGTCAGAGGAACTTGTAATCCCCACCCCCCCCCCCCCCCCCCCCCCCCCCCCCCCCCCCCACACACACACAAGGAAATGCCCCTGGGCGCCCTGCAGGAAAGAGACCATAAATTCCTTCATTGTTATTGTTATCACAGTGTATTGTTGCCTGTTAACTATCTATCCTGCACCCACCTAAGGAAAAGAAGTAGGTGTGGCCCTGGCCGGGTTGTCTCAGTGGGTAGAGCCGACATCGGCCTGCAGACAGTAGGGTCCCGGGTTCGATTCTGGTCAAAGGTTGTGGGCTCAATCCCCAGTAGGGGGCGTGCAGGAGGTAGCTGACCGGTGATTCTCTCTCACCGATGATGTTTCTGTCTCTCTCCTGCTCCCTTCCTCTCAGAAATCAATGAAAATATATTAAATTAAAAACAAACAAAACAGAAGAATGAATAAAACAAAGTGAAAAACAGCCTTTCTCTGAAGCATTGTCCCAACCCCTTGAGATTCTTCTCCTTCTTCTCCTCCTCCTCCTCCTCCTCCTCCTCCTCCTCCTCCTCCTCCTCCTCCTCCTCCTTCTCCTCCTCCTCCTCCTCCTCCTCCTCCTCCTCCTCCTCCTCCTTCTTCTTCTTCTTCTTCTTCTTCTCCTCCTCCTCCTCCTCCTCCTCCTCCTCCTCCGCGTCCTCCTCCTCCTCCTCCCTAGACCATTTGCTTACATTTTATACAAAGAAATATAAAAGTGAGTTAGTTACATTAGTACCTTGGCATTATTGGGTTAGAATTACCATAAAGCTTGATACAGAAACTTTTAACTCCAAAAATACTCTCCCAAAGTCATAATTATTTTTGTTCTTAATTTTCACCTGTGGATATGTTGAGAGAGAGAGAGAGAGAGAGAGAGAGAGAGAGAGAGAGAGAGAGAGAAGAAGAAGAAGAAGAAGAAGAAGAAGAAGAAGAAGAAGAAGAAAAGAAAAGAGAAGAGAAGGAGAAAGAGAAAGAGAAAGAGAAAGAGAAAGAGAAAGAGAAAGAGAACGAAACATTGATTGGTTGCCTCCCATACATGTCCCAACAGGGATTGAACCCGAAACCTAGGTATGTGTCCTGATCCGGAATTGAACCCACAACCTTTTGGTGTGCAGGATGGTGCTCCAACCAACTGAGCCGCCCAGCAAAGGCCCATAATCATTCTTTATTCATAAAAGAAGTAACTTATTTAAAAAACAACAAAATTCCTAAGAAAGATAGATGCTTTTTCCTTCAAATCTGAAACTTTGGTGGAACTACATACAATTTGAAGGGACTTAAAACCACTTTGTTCTCTGAGGTATGGTCTCACCTGACACAGAGGATGTGTTTTAAATTCTCTGGGAGTGTCCTCACCTCATGGCTCTGTGAATTGGCGTGCTTGAAAGAGAGCAGTGCCCTATGTTAAGGGTTGGGGATGAGAGAATAAAGGAGAGTAGGATTTGGAGATTCCTAAACTACTTAGTGGAGAGAATAAAGCAAAGGTATATGAAATCATATGAAGATATTTTCAAAGTGGTTTGCAAATTGTCCCCAGAATCTTCTATCTTTTCTCTTTTGGCATTTGGTTTCCCAACAACCCTCACACGCAACCCTCAGCACTTGTCTAGCTGCTCAGCCACTCCCACTGCACTACCTTTTTGTGTGACAAGTTCTCCATACTCTTGATAGGTGTTTCCATCAAGCTATACTTGTCTTACATCTCATTCTCTTCTGACCCTATTCTCTGCTAAGAAGATAATTTAGTGGAACAAAGGTTTTCTTCACTGGTAAGGTCTTACTATACCATCTCATGCATTATGTATTTGCATTTTAGCAGCTGCCTTCCGGGATATAATCCAAAAAACAGTTAATGATGATGAGGCAATGGAGCATATGCCTGTCTAAGGGCTTTTCCTTCATAAGAACCTTCTTCAGCACTCTTCAGATTGACTGAACAGCCTTCTCCTCCTCCAAAGCTTAACATCAACCCTAATTACAAAGCCACCTTCGCGGCTTGACATGCCACAGTGTAGGTGGTTCAAGGCTTTGCCTAATCTGAGGAGGACCCACATTTGGGAAGAAAGAGTGGAAAGGCCTGATGACAGTGGGAAGTGTCTAGAACCCCACTGTCCAGTGTGGAAGCCACTAGCCACATTCCCATCCATGTACGAAGTCTTATTTTACAGCCCATCTAGAAAGTGAGGAGGGCATTTTCATTCAAGAAAAAGGGCAGTGAGG